TGGGATAACGTGAAACAAATTTAATAGAAAACTGCGCAGTTGAGAGGAAGAAGCTTGCATTTAGGAAAAATATACTAACGGAATTATCAATTGAAAAAATCTTGGAGTCAGTAGAAAAGAAAAAAACGAACAAAAAACTGCTCTTATAAGTATGATTTTCAGAGAAAAAAAAGTTTCAAAAACACGAAAAGTGTGCAGAATAATGTTTTACTTAAGTTTACGCAAAACCAATAAAAATGAGCTCGTTTGTGGCCGTTAAAAAAGCCTCTTTAAAATCTTCATTTGCTAAAATGAATCAACATCGACAATAACTAAAGATCAATCCGATTATAAGTTCTAATTCGATCTTTTTTAATAACAAGCCTAAACACAAAAAGTTGTCTAGAATCACGTATACATGCCTTTGTTCAAATTTCATAATTTAGCGCAGGTTGGTTTACTATTTTTCAACTTGTACAAATCAATACAATACACACTATAACAATCATTTCATAATTAAATTCTTTGTACCTTAACTCCACTATTTCGGCCCACCACTTCCGGCCTATACATATATCCCATGTGTCTCCCGTATACCTAACACCGCTCCGAAGCCAAACTTGCACGGACATATCGTCCCGAGTTTGATCCACACTCCCCGGATGGTTAGTATATACGTACGCGCGTAAATCAAAGCACTCGTCTACTCATGAGAACGAGTCAACAATATATATATACACAACATCTCACACATGAGAATAAACATAACAATGCCAAGCCCAAGGCATTCAATAAATCTCACCTCACTTTTTTTTTTTTATACTCTCTTTCTCACAACACTCAAATAAAACAACAATCCATAGAGTCATGGTGGAGTGTAAGGAATTTATTTATGGATTTCTAATTTATTTTAATTTCATATATCCGTGAAGGTGATTACAACCATAAAATAAATCCATATAAAAATCCTAAACCTGGCATACACAACTAATCAAAATAATTAAAATCATCAAACATTTAAAAATTCTAAACCTTACATACACACCTAATCAAAATAATTAAAATCAATCGATCATCTTTATATAAAAACGTAATCAAACTAACATCAAATAAATAAAAATAAATAAATAAATAAAAACAACGAATTAAACATAAATCAAGGAAAGTAAGGTTTGTACTCACAATATTTTTTTGTAGATCAAAGAATTATTTGAAGAACTAATGGAGCCACCAAAACAAAACCCTAATTTTTTTTTTCTTCTCCTCCTCTCCTCCTGCCGTCCCTCTTTCTTTGCTCCTCTCTCTCTCTCGACGCCCTTTTCCCCGTGGCTGCTACTATCAATTGTAGGATTCCTTAAAGAACTTTTAAACCTAGTTGAATATTTATATTATATTATATATATAATAACCTAATTTCCTATTCTATATATGACTATCTTATATGACTATTATATAATATTATATTATGTAATACAACATAATTATACTAACAAAAAATCCTATTCTATATATGTATATCTTATATGACTATTATATAATATTATATTATGTAATACAACATAATTATAATATATATAAATATAAATATAAGATTAAATATATATATATCACCTTTTTTTTTATAACAAATATAAATATTTAAATATTTGGATTAATTATATATAATTAAATAACACATTAAATTAATTAATTACCACATTAAATTCTCATGTGACCACACAATTAGTAAAGCCAAAAATAAAATAAGATAATAATAATCATAATAATAATAAATAATCACTTAAGAAAATTAGGGTCGCTACAATATACACACCTCAAAAGAATCTCGCCCCGAGATTCGATAGGAGAAAGTACTAGGCAAAAAGTTTCGGATGTATATGTCGAACTTTCTCTTCTAACTCCCAGGTAATATCGTTCTCATCTTCGCTCCATTGCACTTTCACCAAGTTCACTTTCTTGCGTCGCAACTACTTTACATCTCGGCCTAGAATAGTAACTGGTCGCACCACATACGTTGGATTGTCACTAATCTCCAACACTTCTGGTGATACTACTTGGGGAGGGTCTTGCACACACTTTCGCAATAAAGATACGTGGGACACGTTGTGAATCATAGCTAAAGCAGGTGGGAGGGTTAATTTGTAGGCCACATTACCAATCTTCTCAGTGATCTCATATGGTCCGACAAATCTAGGTGCCAACTTTCCCTTCTTTCCGAACCTCATGATACCCTTCATCGGCAAGACCTTCAAAAACATGAAATCTCCCACATTCAACTTAACCCCCTTACGTTTTCTATTAGCGTAACTCTTCTGACGACTCTATGCAGTCTTAATACGTTCCCGAATAATGTTCACCTTCTCCGTGGTCTCTCTCACCAACTTTGGCCCTAACAACGGCGCATCTCCTACCTCTATCCAATAAGCAGGTGATCGACATGGCCTTCCTTATAAAGCCTCAAAAGGTGCCATCCCGATACTAGAGTGATAGCTATTATTAGAAGCAAACTCCACCAATGGCAAGTGTTCTTCCCAACTACCACCAAGATCGAGCACACAAGCTCTCAACATATCCTCCAAGATCTGATTTACCCGCTCAGTTTGCCCATCTGTCTGAGAATGATAAGCCGTGCTCAAGTTTAACCTAGCACCTAAAGCATGCTGAAAACTCTCCCAAAACTCTACCACAAACAACGGATTACGATCCGAAACTATAGAAACTGGTGCGCCATGAAGTCGCACCATCTACCGAATAAACAGCCTAGCTAGTTTATTCGCAGTTCGGTGAACACTGATAGGAATAAAATGAGCAGACTTGATGACTCGATCCACTATCACCCAAATAGATTCATTGCCTCGCTTAGACCGCGGCAATCCATCCACGAAATCCATTGAGATGTACTCCCATTTCCAAGTAGGAATCTCAAGAGGCTGCAAAAGTCCAAACGGTCGTTGGTGTTCTGTTTTCACCTGTTGACACATATAATATCGAGAAACATACTCTCCTACATCATTCTTCATACCTTCCCACCAAAACGTCCTCTTCAGGTCATGATATATCTTAGTCCCACCAGGGTGAATGGTATATCGGGACCTATGGGCATTATCCATAATCTCTTTCTTCAATTCAACAATGTTAGGTACACACAACCTGCCCTTGAATCGCAATCCCCATATGAGTCCACTGACCAATCAGTAGGACAATCATCGATCAAATCCACTACAAGGTCATCAAGTTTGCTGACGAGAAACCATCTAAATTCTGTATCTGACGAACTTTACCCAGTAACGTCGGCTGCACGGTCAAACTACCAATGTATGCCCTCTCAGCAATCTCTATTGGTTGAACATCATGCATCGAAATTAACTCAGGATTTCCATTCTTGAATCATCAATGAAGCTATAATCCCATGTTGTCAACTAAGTGCATCTGCGACCACATTTCCTTTTCCTGGGTGGTAAAAGATCTCGAAATCATAACTACTGACGAATTCAACCCACCTCTGTTGCCTCATGTTCAACTCTTTTTGAGAAAAAAGATATTTGAGGCTCTTGTGATATATGTACAACTCAAAGTGCTCGCCAAACAAGTAGTGTCGCCACACTTGTAACGCAAAAACAACTAATGCCAACTCTAA